CACAGCTAGAACCCACCATGCCGCACACATTGTAGCAAACCACCCTCATTCCCTTCACATTCCATTGATGAGATGTAAGTTCCACTTGAACAGCTTCTTTCCACGAATCCCTGCTTTGTAGAACCAACTTCCAATAAGATGCTTCCCCAATCACTATAATCTTAACTTGTTCAAGTCTAGTGTTAATCAGTATCTTCTCCACATATCCCCATAAACTGTTCCTCCTACTCAGTAACACTCTACCTTAAGTGGCTCTTGAGCCTTGTACAGGGCAAACATTTTTGTAAAAAATAAAAAACATAATAAAATAACTCTGAAGTGATATAATGTTGTGGCTACTTTGTATATTTTGTATTTTAATGGAATTAAAATGATAAATATTGTATTAAATAAATAATAGTTTCATTATAAAATAATGAACAGGAAACTGTGAGAAGCTGCCCTTTGGCTGTTATTGTCTACAGTAAAAGAGTTTAAATTATCTGGTAGGTATCATCCAGAATTTGAATTTTTTACAAGATATCCCTTGATGAAAAAAAGTATATAAAGTGTCATATCTAGAGACTGAAATGGTTTCAATTTTCTAAATGTTATAACGTCTAAATAGTTTCATAAACTGAAATGATATCAATATGACAAATTTAGATTTATTTGACTTTTCAGAAAGCCAAGCAAGGAAAAGAATGTTTTAGTTTGTGCCATTGTGTTTCAAGTAGAGAACTTCAGAATGTTTAAATCTTAGAAATTTATATAAAGCAGTGATTTTAATTTTCTAAATGTTATAACATCTAAATAGTTTCATAAACTGAAATGATATCAGTCCAACAAAATCATATTTATTTTGATTATTTTATAGTTATAATACAGGTTATAAAAAAATTGTCTTTTAATTATGATTATGTTGAAATCTGTGCTAATTTGGTTTACAATAAACAGTAAAATAATGGTATTTCTTAAAGAATATTTTTATTGACAAACAAAAGATAACTATTCTAGTTTATTTAAAGAATTTGCAACAAGTTTACTTCAAGCTATGTAAATGTTGACGAAATATATCACGATTAAAAAAATATTCAAGACTTGTGTAGGTGAGTTAGAGGGTGGCCCCATAGTTTCATTAGCCTAGGGGCCTCAAAATGTCTAGCATCCAGTCCTGTACATAACATATTATTTTCAATGGTTACAGAACCAGAAACTATTCACTAGAATGCTAGAAAATAATTGTAAAGTGATATGGATGTTGTATGTTTTTTTTTACTTATTCAGTTTGTGTTTTCATTGAATTAAAAGGATAAATTCTGCTATGGAATGGCACACAGCAAATTGTGTGAATAAAAGACATTATCTAATAGGTATAATTCCAGAACTTCAATTTTTGTACAAGATTAAAAATATATCTTAATGAAAAAAAAGCATCATGTCTAGTGGTTGAAGTAGTTGTGTATTTTCTTCTTTGTGTTAGTGTTTACTCTAGTTTTGTAACCAAGTCAAATACCTTTCCTGATATAGGACATATTCACTTTTAACTTCAGATGTTTGCAACACTTACAAAAACTTCTTTTTAATGAACTGACTGAACTAATATAGATTTTATTCAGTATAAACAAATACTATTTTGAACAGTCAAAACACCAGAAACTATTTACTGAAATGCTAGAAAATAACTCTGAAATGATATAGATTGTTAAACTATTTTGCATTTTTACCATTATACAAAGGTCTCCAATCATAGAAAACCTTTTTTCAGACTAGAAAGAGTAAGGAGACTGGCATTAGAATAAAGTAAATTTATTTTCAAAATTACAAGTTTATTTTTCAACACCGTCACAGTTTAGTACAACAAATTTTATACACTTTTTCTTCAATCCATGAAGAAAGTGTTTGGTTTATTGTTAATCCAACTGTGCACAACATCTTCAACTTTGACAATGAATGAAAGATTTTGACTGTACAACACTGTTTTCAATTTCAGAACACTCAGAAATCTGATGCTATTAAATTGGAAATGTACAAAGGATATGCAACTACAGGAATTTTCAATCATCTCACTATATGTCCCATTTGTTGACTTCAGTGTGTCTTTGCATTGTCATATTGCAAAATAAAGAACTCCTTTCAAGCCTTATTTTGTGGATATTGAGTTGAGTTCATAAGATTTCTTTGCTTTCATACATCTGTGAATTTTCATCAGCATGCCATCTTCTAATGCCACTGATCAATCTTTGTGTTCCCACCTTCCCCATAAAAATTCTGATGACACTACAATAAAAGTAGCAAAACATATCAAATTTAGAAAGGTTTTCTTATTTGTTCCTTATTTAATAATTTAACAGTGTGTACAGTTTTGTTTAAATTTTCTTAGTGTCATTTTCCTGTGTGACAGCATTGAGTAATAGTGTTTGTTTGTCATGAGTACTATACCAAAGCAGAGATCAGTGATATTAAAAGATTGATCAGTGGCATTATATTTCATGTTGTTTCTTTCATTGGTCAGATAGATATCACATCTACATGTTTCATATCATTTATGTGTGTGTCAATGAATTCTAGGCGACATTTTCTTGTATGCTTCATAGTATCTGTAATTTCTAAATATGGCAGTGAGAAAGAAATATATATATATATATATATATATATATATATATATATATACACACACAAGTATATAATTAGTATATACGGAATGAATTCCAATAACCAACAATTACTATTCTTAAAAGAGTGCTCAATACAAAGTAGAGCAGATATAATTATTTTTATAAAAAAATTATAACATAAGTATGTTATAAAATCACTACAAAAAATAGCCATTTTGTTTCAACACACTGTTGAAAACAAAACTATTTTGTAGTGATTTTATAACATAATTTTATGTTATAATTTTTTTTAAAAAAAAATATATATATATATATATATATATATATATATATATATATAAAGAGAGAGAGAGTTGTGGTTGTGTATTTTCCCCAAAGGACATGGCAAAAAGAAGAAGAAGATATACAGAGACAGTATAGAAAGATGAGAGAAACAAAGGAAATACTCATGAAACTGACTATTGAAATCTATAACTTTGTGCTTGGAAGAAAATTTGGTGATCTTGATGTTTCCAAATCCAGGTTCACTATTGAATAAAAGAGTGGAAATAATAATGGGATGTATACATGAAAAAAGTGTATTTAATAGCTAATAAGAAAGCAAAGCAACCCACACTCAACAAAATTACATTTCAAACTAGTCACAACATATTACATTGCATCTAGACACATGGTTCTGTTGTTTATATTTTGGCCTCTTGCGTGATATGACATCATAGAACCGCATGTTGAACTTATGAACTGCATCAGCTATTCCATGATCATTATCAATGCATAACAATCTTCTATGTCAACATAACAAAATATTATCTTCGAGAGTGAATATCTTTGTTAAAATGGCTACATAACTACTCTGAAGATGGCTCATGTGAGCCGAAAGCATAAATCAAGGACCAACTTGATAAAAAAATATCCAAACGTTTGACAATTTTTGTCTTTATTTTCACCTGAAATTAAAGCAAACATACAAACATTAAAACGGCTCATGATCCCACATAATAGACATTCATTGTCTGTTATATTTAATAATATATGTTTAAATAATAATCTGGTGCCCCAATATCTCTGAGATGAGGTATTATAATTAATCACATTATTTACATTATTCAAACTGTTATCCTCATCTTCATTGCTATATTCACAACATTTCGGCTGAAACAGGGAGAGTTAAGTTAAAGGGAAATAACTAAGACATCCAGAAGAGGCATGGCACAGGGAACTAGAACAATCTATCCCAGTGGGTTCGGTTTGAAATTCCAATCACCTGATGAAAGCCAGAATGTACAATGGGCGAAACATTGTGAATATGGCAATAAAGATGAGGATAACAATCCAAATAATGTAATGCAAATAATTTTCACAAACATGGGTGTTGTAGATATAAAAAAATAACCAAAATTTGTATTAGGTCATGTAAGTCAAAAGCATAAATCTAATACAAATTTGGTCTATTTTTTACAGCTACAAACAACCACATGTATGAAAACTTACTTGCATATAAGAAAAAAGAATTATCAATAAATTAATCATAAGATATCTATTCTTTTTAATAATTATATATATATATATATATATATACACACACACACACAAACTAATTTAGACATACCATTAGAAAATAACAAGAACTTTCAAATAATTTTAAAACTGCATTGTACTTATAAAAACTATTTTATATTTATCTGCATCATCTTTTTTTTATTCTTAATATTTTCCTGAATATTAAACAAATAACATTTCTTTTACCACTTAATAATTATGGAATTTATTTATCAAGTTCAACATGACATAAATTTTTTATTTCTATTAGATCATCAGAAGAGTCTAGTACAAAGAGATCAGTTAATATTATATCAGGAAAAGTACCCAAGATATAAAGATGAGAGAATTGCCCGTCTCTAAGGATGCAGATTCTTCTGATCACATAAAAGGGTGTTACATACAAAAGATTATATATGGATATAAATTGTGTGTGTGTGTGTGTATATACTACCACATGCACTTTCAATAAATAAAAATTTTAAAAATAACTTAATGATCATTATATTTCAGAGTAAACTTAAAATTTCAGAAACTCTACTCAGAATATAATTTTCAAAAAAGATTAAAAATTGTTTTTTTCTGTTTTAATGAGCAGTTTTAATCTATTTGACAAACATTTGCTTAACATGAAAGATGAACCATAAAAAATCCACTTTCATTAAATTGCTGAAGGTGATTCCATTTGATAGAAAGAAAAAAAAGTTGAATCAGAAGCAAATGACTTAAATAAGGCTTTGTCCAGAATAAATCAGCAATTATGTAACATTCCACACCAAGTTTCAAAGTGGAAAGGGGGTAATGAATAAAAAGTTTTAGTGGAAAGGTTAAACTGAAGAAGTGACTGGAACATAAAACAGAATTTTAAATAAGGAATGTTGAAAATTTAAAGTGAATGAGGAGAAGGAAGTTTAATCCATTTAATGAAGTAGAAGAAAGGGATTTAAGGAGAAGTAGAAAAGGAGAAGTAAAAGAAGGATAGAATGTGAGGAGGAAGAGGAGATGGGAGAAGAAAAGGGAAAAGAGAAAACAGTGAGGAAAAGAAGGGAGAGCTGAGGAGGTGAAGGCTAGAAAAAAGATATTAAGAGGAGATGTAGAAAAGGATGTGAAGAGGAGGGCAAAGGAAAGAGGTGAAGAGGAGGGCAAAGAAGAGTGGTGAAGAGGAGGGCAAAGGAAAGAGGTGAAGAGGAGGGCAAAGAAGAGGGGTGAAGAGGAGGGCAAAGAAGAGGGGTGAAGAGGAGGGCAAAGAAGAGGGGTGAAGAGGAGGGCAAAGAAAAGAGGTGAAGAGAAGGACAAAGGAAAGCAAGGAAAAGAAGAGACAAGAAAGGAAAGATGAAGAGAAAGAATGGGACAGAACAGGGTGAAAAAGCTGGCGCCAAGGAAACTGATAAGAAAAGCCAAAGAGGTGAAAAGGGGTAAAAAGGGAGGGAGGTGAGATGGAAAAAAAGTAATGAAAGATTAAAAGTGGGACAAAGAGGAGGAGGAAGAAAAGTTGGTAGGATGAAAACTGTAAGATGTGATGATGTGTGACAAAGAATAATGCCTAGACTGGAAGCCTTTCTAAAGTAGGGCTGTGTGCATTTGGACACTTAATTAGTTGGTGAGAAAAGTTAACGTTCACATAAAACATCCATAAGAACTAGAGGGGGGGTGCAAAATGCTGATGATATCAGCAAACGCATTGATTGATCCGCTTTGATTTCATTCTTCATGTGAAATACAAAACTTCATGAATGATTTCAGTCAAAATAATTCAAGAATTTTTCTCACAACTTTTCTGATAGTCTGGCATCAGATTTCTTTATGTCACTTTTCATGTGCCATATCATTAGTATCATTAGTATCAATTCACAATTTTATTTTTAATCGTTAGCTCTTTATTTTCTGAAATAATTGAACAAAACAGTATTATCTGGGTTTTAATTTTGTTAGTACATTTTAGTTCACATATTCTTCAGCTTTTCTGTAATATAGAAATTTTTAAGATTACCTATTTCCATTATTTGAGAGATTTTTCAGACTATTTTCTTTATTTTTATTGTTTTTATCAAAAGATTTCAGTTAATACATTCTTCTGAGTGTTGCTTAAAGTGCTGAGATTAACTGTTTTTATTATTCCATAAATTTTTCAGACAGGTGTCTTCAGCTTTGTTTTTTGTTTTTTTTATCTGATTTCAACCATTACATACTTTAGCTTTCATGTGCTGTCTGAATTTTTTAGATGAATATTTTCATTATTATATAAATCTTTTAAAAAAAAATCCTTATCCTTGTTTTCCAAACAATAACTTAGCTGACATTCTCCAGCTTTCCTGTGTTGTTTAAAGCTCTGAGATGAACAATTTTCATTGTCATAGGAACATTCACAATCTTTATACAAATATTTCAGCTTATATATCTTTTAATTTTTCCCAGGGAGATATTACATCCAGTAAACTTTAAAAATTCTCCCTTATTTTATTTCCTTTAACTATCTCAATAAGAACACCTCCACAAGAATCATATGACTCTCTGTTAAGGCTTTGTATTAACTTGATAACAAATGAAATTGAAAGAGCTTTGTATATTCTTATCAATTAATTGGCCTTTTCTTCACTCTGTCATGGGAAGCATTTAACAAGCTTTCAGCATCAGGGAAGAAAAAAAGACTTAAGCAAATTCAGAGAACCACTAATTGCAACAAATACCCAATGAAGGCCAAAGAACGTATCAGCCAGTAGAAATGTTGGGTAAAAAGAAAAAAAGATAATAATCTCCAAAATGTATAGATTGACAAATTTTTATAAGAAGAAATTAAGGGGACAAGAAGAGAAAGGGAATGAAGAGAAAAAACAAAAAACAAAAGCAAATCTAAGAAGAACAGTTAAAGAAAGAAGAAAAGACCAAAGTTGGAAAGAAAAGAAGAAAGAAGAAAAAACAAAATTTGGAAAGAGGAAAAGTGAAAAGTTGGGAGGAAAAGTGAAAGTGAAGAGAAGAGGCTAAGTGAAATATGGTTAAGTATTAAAAACCTATCAGATAGGTCTTAAAACAGGCAGAGTGAAAGTACTGAAAAGTCTTAGATAAAGCTCTGCATGTGTGTTAAGAATTGTTGCCATAAAACAATCTATATCACTTGCCACTTAGCCCTTTAGCCAGGGACTGAACCAGGTGTATCCACCAATGCATGAAACTGAACAAATACCTTTTTTGCATCATGACTCAGATGCATGGTGACTTTTTAATCTTAGATTATTATATTTTCAATTAGTTTTTATAACAAATTATTACAAATATTTTACTAGTACTTCTTTCATTGTAACTTCTGGATCCTATTTCCCCAATTATTAGTAAGCAGCAGGATAAAAAAAAAATAGTCTTCAGGCAC